AACGCGCAGCGCGCACACAGACACACACACAGACAACCTCTCGTCAGTATGCGTTTTTCGCATTGCATTGCTGCAAAAAACGCATAAAAAACGAACCAGTTAATTTCCGGATCGATGAACGGAAGCCCATCGTACTGAATCGGGACAATTCGGCCAACAGTTACATTCATCGCACGGATGTGTAGCACAAACTCGCCATTTCTCGAAACGAGTAACCTGTATGTCCATGCACCAGCAATGTCTGCAGTAACATTTGGTACCTGGAATGGGTTGAATGCATTTTGTTCCACTGTCGTAAATAAAGGTAAGTAGGTGAACGTATGCCAGGATGATAAACAGCTGACCAGTATCAGGTGAGGCGCAAAAGCTTCGGCCACAACAACCACGGAAGGCCTGGAGCTAGATCGACCAGACGACGATTGTTCATTGCTGTATCACTCAAAATGGAGGCTCATTTAGGGCCTCTAATTTATCCGGAACTATTCCACTGCGCCAGCAGCAACACACAGGAATGCACTAGCCTCGCCTTTTTGTCTCTGTGAGCGGTGCATTCTCGGGAAGTAACAGCAGCAACCACTCCTAAGCATCACTGTCTTCCCCTCTTCTTCACTGAGCATTGCTGTCTCAGAAATTTCCACCTTTTTCACACTGGAACGCCATCTGTTTGTCTGCTGTTGTTGTTTACTTGTTTGTTTGTTTACCTGTCCATTGGGTATACAATCCTAAAGCATGGCTGCTCCTTTTTTTGAACGTGACCCTTACAAGCTGATGGCGGGTTTGACTCTCTGTTCTTTGTCAGCACCAATTCATCATCGAGACGAATGAGTGGACGTAGAGGAAGGGACTGGTTGTTCCAGTGGCTGAGTGGAATCCCGACTTACGGTAGTGTTATTTTCTAGGTCACCATGTCCGACACCACTCCGCTGGTAGCAGTCTAGAAAACCGGAACATGCCTGGATGTGATATCCTCCATCGTCAAATAGCATTATCGCTGGCTGAACATTGACCACAGCGACCCGAAAATTTGATGCCCGAATGTGGCCAATTCGCAGCTTTTGCTCGAAAGTTTCCGATGACAGGCCCTCATCCAGTAATGCGCCAAACCAGTTGGAATATTGCTCGAAAAACAAAGCCAAAATGCGGGCATTCGTCTGAAAAAAAAAAAATCCCTCAGTACTTCCCCTCATCGCAGGATAATTAGCAGAAAACGTGAAAAAGACCTTCAGCTTCCCAGTTTTAAAAGAAAAAAAAAGTAAAAAAGATTTCCAACGACCTGCTGGTACCATTCGTTGCTAGAAGGTTTGTGTGTTCCAGTGCGGAACGGAGGGGGGGGG